CGAGAGAGGACAACTGAGGAGTTTCGGTGCTGCAGATAAAACCTCCCTGCACGGTGCCCCCCACGCTCTGTGGTCGCTCCCACCAGATTGCTCCCACCAGGATGCTCCCACTGGGATGTTCGTGCCAGGGTGCTCGCTGTCGGGCTGGGCCCCAGCAGCCAGATCATGCTGCCAGAGATAAACGTGCATCCCCCCTCCCCACTGACTTTTCAGCTGTGCCCCCTCAGAGGGCACACGTGGGCAGGGAGGACTCTGCAGGGTGGGGTGGCAGCACCCTCTCACCCCTCCTTCCCCCTCAGGACGGGAGGATCGAGTTCTCAGAGTTCATCCAGGCACTGTCAGTCACCTCCCGGGGGACGCTGGACGAGAAGCTGAGGTGTAAGTGCTCCCTGCATGGTGGGCTCAGCCCCGTGGCCTCCTGGCATGACGAGGGCCACTGGGGGGTGGCACAACAGGGACAATGGGGTGTGTATCTGGTTTGGGGGGTCATGGTCCCCAGCACCTCACCGTTGCTGTGGCTTGCAGGGGCGTTTAAGCTGTATGACTTGGACAACGACGGGTACATCACGAGGAACGAGATGCTGGACATTGTGGATGCCATTTATCAGATGGTGGTAAGTGGGGAGGTTGTGGGGTGAGCAGCCCCTGGGGTCCCTGCTGGGCTGGAGCCCAGCTCTGCAGGCAGGGGGGCTGCTGAAACACTCCTGATTCTATCCCTGGGCTGTTCTGTTGGTGGTTGTGGTGTGGGAGTTTGTGCCCTGGCCTGATGTGGGAGGTGTTGGGGGGAAAAATATGTGTCCTTGCTTGGGGATGCCCTTCGGGCAGGGCACAGACGGGTGTGTGACCAGGTCCTGTCCTGCCACTGCAGGGGAACACAGTGGAGCTTCCCGAGGAGGAGAACACACCAGAGAAGAGGGTGGATCGGATTTTCGCCATGATGGACAAGGTGAGGATGTTTTCCCCTGGGACCATGGAATTTAGGAGGCAGCCGTGGGCCCCTTTGCTGTGTCTCAGCTCTTGAAGGTGCCTCCTTCCCCTACTAATGCAAAGTCTCAGCCACCACTGGGCTCACTGCAGACCTCCCCCCCAGTATCCATGTCAGGGTCCCTGAGATGGCATTGCACCCTCTGTGGCACCCCGCTCTGGCTGCAGACATGGGTGATTTGGTGCAGAAATGGAGGCTGTGAGGGCTGGGGGACCCGGGTGGCTGTGTGGGATGCTGTGGGTGCTGCTGGGCCCTGGGGTGCCCGGTGTCCCCCTCGCCGAGACGCTGTGACCGGAGTGTTTTGCAGAACGCGGACGGGAAGCTGACGCTGCAGGAGTTTCAGGAGGGCTCCAAGGCTGACCCCTCCATCGTGCAGGCACTGTCCCTCTACGACGGGCTCGTATAGACCTGGAGCCGAGTGGTGGTGAGTATGTCGGGGGGGGGAGCCCAAGGGGGTCCCCATCTCACACCCCCACCTTCCCTGGGAGCGGGCAGCTGGTTCTCCTCTGCTGAAACATCAAAGTGGGAGCACCCCTCCTCCCCAAATCTGGCTGGGAGGCAGCTGGTGTGCCGAGGGCATGGGGATGCTCTGGAGAGAGATGATATTAAATGTTTGATTTATATCGTGTCTCAGGATATTACGCCCTGGAGCTGGCAGGGTTTGGCATGGCAGTGCCAGGGATGCTGCGGTTGGCAGCATCCTGGAGATGCTGGGCTGAGCACCTCGTGGTCCTCGCCATGCCCAGCGGGGTCATGCAGAGATGTCTCCTGCGATGATTTGAGTCATCTCAGTCCAAGCAGTGCCCAACCACGGGCGGTGGGGCTTTTTTAAACCCTGCTGGAGTTTTGAGCTTTTCAAAGTCTTTCCGCCGGGTCCAGCTTTGCCCCTGCAGCTGCGTGGGCGTTGCCGCAGAGCTGCCTGCCCGTCCTTCTCACCCGATTCTCCTTCTCCCCCCCTCTCCTGCAGATGCCTGGGGGGAGCTGCTCTCCGTGCCATCCGACCACCGCCTCGCGAAGCTTGCCTGTCCCTCTCGGCCTTCCTCTCTGTCCCACGAGCAGAGGATGCCCCCGACG